GTTATGTAGCAAGTACTTGTACTTACGGTATTTGTTTTTATTCAATGAACATACACATCAATGATTATTTATTTTCTGCTTCTCGAAATATTTGGTGTTGCTTTTTTCCCCTTTTTTTCGGGTTTGTATTGACAGATTGTATTTGTTCTGTTCTTTTTAGCTATTCTTCAAAATGAAATTATATTTAATTGTTTTTGCTGGATATATGTATATTTAATTGAAATCACTATTTTGCCTTACACTCTTAGTTCTGCTCTTCTTGAAATTCATTGGCTATGAAAGGGTAGATTTGCCTTTTTATTCTATGTATAGGCCTACTTCTGATTTCTATTTTCATATTCTTTGTTGAAAACAGATAGACAAAAAAATCTTTTCGCTAATTTGCGGACCTTTTACTACAGAAATTATTAAATTGATTATCAGTCAGTTAAGGTACTGCTTATAATAGAATGTAAGTAAAAATTATTTATGTGTCCCTTGATTGGTTAAGATTTTGTTTTATTCTATTTTTTTAGATTAAAATCTATAGATAACTTACACAGATAGAAATATACAAAGCAATCAAATTAGTCTAGCTTGTTATTATATCTATTATATTATTATATTATTTTTAAAAATACGTGCTGTTTCTTTAAATGAGCAATTCAGAATTCATATTCAACTCTTTGAGGTGTTTCCTATATGTTTTATCTTTAAGTATGGTTACGAGGAGTCTCCAATACAGTGTAAGCGATATTATATCTATATAATATTGAATAGGTCTATATTTGGTTCGACCATGTTTAGTGTAAAAATATTTTACTTGGTTTGTGTTAATTGGAAAATAAAAGTGGTGGCTTCACCACAAAGAGAAAACAAAGGTGTTTAGAACGTTTTGTCACTTTTCATGTTTTTAAATGTAAATTTTCATAATTAGCCTACTAATAAAGAAAGGTTTAAAGAGGAATTTGCGTTAAGGTGATGTTTTAACCAACCTGACGAGTTGCTCTATGCTCTGATTTGTAGAACGTAATTTGGAACGTACTGGGCACTCGTAGCAATAACACATCAAGTTGAGTAAATTCATTCCCGCTTTTAAAATGTTCAAGTTCGTTAATTTAACTTAGGTTATCTCTATCAGAATTACCTCTGTTATATTTATTTTTAAATCAAATTGATCACATTCTAAACCAGATTCTAGCGCGTAATTTTACCTTTTTTATTTACCGTATATTAAAGGTTTGGAAATCTGGTTTTTGAAGTCATGTCCAAAAAGGTTTACTTATCGGATTTGCGCGCACTTTTGACCGAGATATAAGCGCTAATAAATCAACGAATATATTGCTTAACTCTAAAAATCGAAAACAAACTAACCAGCATTGAAAAAAGAAAACGAAAAAATATCTTACGTCAGGAGAAGAAATATCAATTTGTGCCATCTGTCCTCTTCGATATGACAAGTTAGAGAAAAAGTGCACAGGTTACTTATGCGATAAAATTGCCTCTTCTTTTACTATGTACGTCTGATGGACAGCAGTCCGACTAGGCCTGTTTTACATGTATCTAGGAGACGGGAACGGCAAAACTAAGCCTATTTCTACAGGTGTCGGAGCAAGGTGCAAGTCGGGCAACTAGTCCAAACCAGGAAGTTTCTTAGTTGATATGCAATGTCGATTTGAGCGAGACCAACCAATCAATTTATATGAACTGATAAATAAAGACTTGGTTTTTATTTACATATCGATGAATAGTTATGGGACTGATTTTTTTGCCAGGCGATATAAAGTGCGCGTCCGACTTACAGTATCCCGCTCTTTTCATTGGCTGCTGTAGTAGTCGCTATGGTATAGATAAAATTATTATAACATTATTGCATTTGTACCTCCTATAGGTTTTTAGTTTCCATCTCAAACTAATTGTCAAGCCATATAAACCAAACAACCGCATTGTACCAGTTACGAGAAAGCCTCACAAAATATGTGCTCAAATTACGGAAACAAACAAATATTGAATAATCGGTAATTTTTATTGTGTGAGGAATTTAATCAATCATAATTTTCTAGAAAAAAAATGGTATCAGTGGGACGTTCATAAACAAAAGTAATTAACCAATTGGGAAATTCGTCTTGAAATGATAGTACATTAATTTATTTTCCGTAATGATCATAAAATAGATACCGTAGTTAGTAGGTGAATATCACCAGAATATCAATTCTGGTGATATTTTATTATTAAAAAAAATGAAACTAGGCCATTAAATGTAT